TACTTAATAATAAGGTGTAGGATTGGCCCCTAAATTATGATGGGAAGCAGTTACAGCCAGTAGTAAGTGTTTGCAGAGTTAGGCTCTTAATGGTATTTATGCTTCATAAGAACACTTCTGTAGGCCTGCCTTTCTTCTTAATTTCCCTAATATCTTTACATATGGGGGGAAGGGGTCTTATAGCCAGTTGGCTCCTCTGTTTCCTCTCCCCCGCAGCCAACCTATAGGAGACAGAGAAACCCACTTCCCCATTCCTCCATGCACAATATAGGAGATGGGGCCCTCTCCAGCTCCCCCATTTGGCCCCAGTTTGGAGTTAAGGCATCACTCCTTTTAGTCCAACCAAATTTCTCCCTAACTAGGGGAGGGGCACCCACATACTTAGATAGAATTTATGTATAATAGCATTCCAGCTGTAAAACTTTTAATTCTACCAGCTGTGCTACTTATTTGACAATGTTAAATAAAACTCCTATCTAATATTTAAGAAAACAAACCCATTATGCCATTTTTTTTATAGAGCAAGGTGAGACTACATAATTTGTAGCTGTTATAAGATTTGAGTTCACATATTTTCTTTTCGCCACACTTTAGTTTCCCTTAAAAAAAATAAAAAGTAGTAATAAAACCTGCACACATCATTATCAAAGGTGTTGAGCACCTGCAGCTCCATCGACTTATATTGGGTTTATGGATGCGCAGCGCTTCTGAAAGTCTGTCCATGAAAAGCTATTATTTGTGCCAGATGGCACAAGTACAGAATTATCTGACTGTATCTGATTGCTGCACATATATACAGAGGGTGAACTTCTGGCCTCATTGAAATCAACAGGAGTTTTTCCATTGACCGGGATTTCACCCAGAGTCTGCATATTAAGATTAGTTAGTGTATGTAGTGTGTATGCACAATATCATAATTTTCAACTAGTATCACATCTATTTTAGCTTTAAAAAATCTTGGAAATTAGTTTATTTTATTTAAAAGGATTAGTTACATGCCAGATGATGACGACAAACGCAGACCTAAAAGCTACATTTTCGAAGTGTGTAACAGGTACAATCACAATAATGTTTCTGCATTTGAGATGCAAATTGGTCATTGCATGTGCAAACAAGTAGTGCAATTAGCTGATTTGCATATGCAGATGTGAGTTTTTGCAACATGCCTGTAGTATGAACATTTAATGATATGGTCTTACATAATTAGAGTGGTATACTTTTTTCTATCTTTTTTTTTTCTTCTGTGATTGACTATGAATAAAATTTGCTCTTCCATTTTAAGGATTTTATGAGTTTCTGACAAACAGAATGGAAGACCTGATGTAAGCTATGCTCTAGCAGTTCCGGAGGAACAGTTATAATTCTTTTAAGCCTCCTTGTTTATTAAATTTGGAGAAAAGAATTGTATCTTATCCCTGTAGACTCTGGAGAACTGAGAATAGCCTTGTCCCTAGATTTACTAGCTTAGCAACCTCTTTGTAAAACTCCCAACAGGGACTCTTCTGTTGTTCTTGAAAAGGCCCAGTACAGACCTATATAGCTAAATCACATGTAGTGCAGGGTTTTTAATTTTTTTTAACCTTCCTGTCTCATGTAATTGTAATAATTGAGTCTGGCTGCACAGTCAGCTAGGTTTGTTACCAGAGATATTGTGACAGAAATTATACAAAAGTGAAAAGATGGAGCCAGTGCTGTCTGCATCATGATTTTTTCCCTCTAATCCATGGATATATTATGAGTTTAAGGCTAGATTGGCTGTTCTTTCTTCTTGTGAGCAAAAATAGGCCCCAGTAAGAAAAATCAGTAATTGGCTTTGGTCCTTTTAAAACAGAGGAGGAGATCCTAGGGGTTTGGATATAATTTTGATGTTGTACCACTATTTCCTTAAGAGTGACAAAAGAATTGAGAGGATATAGGCATTTCAATTTACGAGTCACTAAGGTATGTTGAACTGCATGCCAAAGATATCAACTCTACCACTGTAGCTGTCATATATTTATTTGATTATAGTATTGTTAAATAGTTGTACAAATACGTACAGATATAAAGCAAGAACAAAAAATCCTGTTTTCTTTGGACTTTATGAACTTCTTTGCATGTTATTTTCCAAACGGTTTTAAAAAATCTAGTTCGAATGTTTAATGTATATGCATTATTTATAAGTTAGTTGTTGTTCTAGAAGAAAATTAATTGATCTATGTATTATCTTCAATCTTTGTAGTAATGTGCCATGCAAAGTGTTGTTTTGGTATTGTTGGGGATTTTTTTTAGAGGATTGGGTATGAGATTATTGCATTTTTTTAAATTTACCAATTTGCAATTTATTTGCACTAAATAAATGCAAGATATTTTAACAAAGTTTTTGTCTGTTGAGGATATACTTTACTTGCTTTAGAGCATTAATGTTACACTCATTTAATTCAGTAAGAAGTTTAAAAAATATTTGACTTAAATTTTAAAAAGTCTCAGATCATGATTCATAATATCAATAATGAAAAATATATTGAGGGTATTTTTTTAAAAGACCGGAACATTTGGGATGAGGTGTCATCTGAGATGTTTCAGTTGTTCATTTCTCAAACTGCCTATATAAAGATGTGTTGCACGTACAGTCAGCAACTCCATTCAGTCACTTTTTTAAAGCTATTAAGAAGAAATGCTCTCCTTTTTTAAGGCAGAAAATGTCTTTTAACTATGTTACAATGAGGTAATAAATTTGTTCTGTAAGTTATTGATCTGTAAAGCTGGTTTCTAGATAAACATTCAGAGTATCTATGTCCTGAGGTTTTAAGTCCTGTTGTTCTTTTACACCCCAGAACTATATAGATACTTTGAATTGTTTATCTAGAAACTAGCTTTGCAGATCAATAACTTACAAATGAATTTTTTGCCCAATTATAGCATAGCTGAGAATGTTAAAAAACACAATTAAAGTAATGAGATCATGTATATAAAAATCTCAGTGAATATGTTTAAGGTTTATATTCTCATGCTATTCAAATACAGAGTATATGATGTTTTTGTTCATTTGTCCTGCTATAAGATTATATCCTTTACCAGCATATATATACAACTGTATAGGGTGTATGTGTAAAAATACACCTACACAAGGCATATTAGTTAGGGGGTTCTGTCAACAGCAATGCTGTTCCAGGGGGCAGGAGTTCCAAAAGAGAAGGTATTCTTTTCCTACTTCGACTTCATACTGTCCTGGGCTGACTCCAGTGAGAACACTCATATCCCATTAAGACCATAGCTGGATTATTGAAAGAAGAGGTGGTGAGATTCATCCTCACCCTGCCATCATTTCCACAGCAGATTGTCATTTTAGGATGAAATCACAAGTCAGGCTGGTATTTTCATGCCTGCGCGGAATCAGGGATCTCTAGACTGTTCCTATAAACCTCCAGTATAAAGCAGAAAGGATGCTTTTAGTACTTGTACTATACATACCCTGTTCCTAGTTGCACAGCAAGTTTCCTATGTTAGATTCTCTGCAGTGATCTAGAAAACAATTGGGAAATGAAAACTAAATTGGATTGCTTCTGCCCCCTTCCCCCCCATCATGACTAGGGTGGAGAAAGTAAATAAGGAAGTATTATTTACTCCTTCTCATAACGCAAGAACTAGGAATCACCAAATGAAATTAATAGGCTGCAGGTTTAAAACAAACAAAAGGAAGTATTTCTTCACACAGTGCACAGTCAACCTGTGGAACTCTGCCAGAGGATGTTGTGAAGGCCAAGACTATAACAGGATTCAAAAAACAACTAGATAAATTCATGGAGAATAGGTCCATCAATGGCTATTAGCCAGGATGAGCAGGGATGGTGTCCCTAGCCTCTGTTTGCTAGAAGCTGGGAATAAACAACAGGGAATGGATCACTTGAAATCCTTTCTATGTTCTGTTCATTCCCTCTGGGGAACCTAGCATTGGCCACTGTTGGAAGACAGGATACTGGGCTAGATGGACCTTTGGTCTGACCCAGTATAGTCATTCTTATGACAAAACTAGATGCAAAAGGATTTCTGTTTGCTTTGTTGGCCATGCAGAAGTCCACAAAATACAGACTTATTTCATGTTATTTAATGGTCCAACATAATACATTTCAGATGGATCTCTGTTTTGTTTTATTGGACTGGACCCACTTCAGGACAAGGATGTTATAATATATGGAGATATACCTATCTCATAGAACTGGAAGGGACCCTGAAAGGTCATTGAGTCCAGCCCTCTGCCTTCACTAGCAGGACCAAGTACTGATTTTGCCCCAGATCCCTAAGTGGCTCCCTCAAGGATTGAACTCTCAAACCCTGGGTTTAGCAGGCCAATGCTCAAACCACTGAGCTATCCCCCCATCCCCTGTCTTATTCATTTGTAAAGCTCCATATGCACACACAGTCATTCATAAATATTTAATAATAATAATAAACCACTGAAATGTAGCCACCTCTCCGGTTGAGGAGGGTAGTTACAGACAGACAGCACAGTGCACAAAAGTGGAAGAGCAGCCACTTTTGGCCAGTGGTGCAAATCCCCTTTTTCACACAGAGTGCTATGAGATCTTTAATATAAATGTACAGCAGATAGGACCTTAGGTGGAATCGCGATCCTGAAATCAGTGGGAGTTTTGTGAATAACTTCAGTGTCTCCAGGATTTCACCCCCAATGTTTTAAACAACACAAAATAGCTGGGGAATGAGTAAAGAGAGCTGAAATCACAAGTCATTTAGGAATGATGCATGTGTGTTTTTAATGAAAATTGTATTCCTCCTTCTTCATATTTGTCTCATTTTGCCTGGGGGTGGAAAAGAGAAGGGGGAGGGGGCACTGAGTTCAGGGCCAGAACTCAGCAAAATGACTCTGGAGTAACTGAGAGCAAAGCTTGCTCCGTCTCTGAGTACTAGGTATAAAATGGATATATGAACACCACCAAAAGTGTGGAAGTGCTTACAAATTGTTTAACTGAACGTTTGATATCATGTTTTGTTTTTTAAAGGTACATGACTGATGGTGGTTTGGGCCTGTACACTCGTAGACTGAATCGGCTACCAGATGGGATGGCTGCAGTGCGGGAGACACTGCAGCGTAACACCTCACTGGGACTAGGAGATGCTGACAGGTATGCTAGTGTCAAGCAAATGCATGTTTATATTGTGCCTTTTTACAGTGTCATAATTTGCAGCTGCTAATGCATGTTGAAATTCAGGTAAACAGCTGTGTAGTGGAATCAGTAGTTGACTATCTGGTTGTAAGGACTCTAATACTGTGTACCACTTAATGTGTTAGGAAAAGGGCACAGACACAGCAGAAATCCTTTAAAATATGGTCCTCTGATTGTAATGTGGGTTTCTCAAGTGGGTTTTTGTGAGCTGGAAAGAACAAAAGCATATTTTAAAAATTCTACTTTTAATACATTGGACTTGAAAAAGAAAGGCACAATTCTCTTCTCCCTTTCATTGACGTAACTTCATTAACTTCCATGAGGAGAATCAAGCCCAGAGACTGGTATGAGGGCTTTTTCAGGTTATTAAAAGGAACATGATTAACTGGAGAGAAGAGAATTTAGGGTGGTTGATCCAAAAGGAAGCTTCTGCAGAAGATATGTGACGTACATAGCTGGGTTGTGATGAATAGAAAAAGCTGAGTACTTTTGCTTTGTAACCGGATTTGATTAGGACTTCCTATCCCCTCCCAACCATCGTGCTTGATGAATTTAACGTAAGCAGTTGATGTATTGGTTGAACCTAGCCTTTGCACTGAGAACATTTGCAGAAGGGCCCATGCGTGGCCTCTACATTTCCATAAAGTGCCCCTAAGTAGTAGATTTTGAGCTTCACTTTTTAATCAGATTTTGAAGTTAGCAAATGTTTTTTTCACCTTTCCTGGAACATTTTGTAATAGACTTCATTTGCTGTGGTTGAGATCTTCTGGTTGGTGACAACTAGATTAATAAGGGTATAATAGAGTAAAGGAGAATCTAGTATAGGAGAATCTAGGTGTGGTTTTTGAGGAGATCAGATCTGGATTACCTCCCCCTCTAATGTTTACAGCATCTGTCACACTTTCATTTGGTATGAAAATCTTCCTGAGTTCTATGTGCTAAGTCACTTGCCTGAAATCCAGCCTGCCTGTATGTGGTTTTCTTATTTCTTACAAGAGCTTTTTATTTCAGCTTTAAATAAATTCCAGTTAGAGGAATCATGTCACATTGCAAAAGAAAAGGCAATTACTTGCTAGTAGCAACTTGTTACAGAGAAACCAAAGAACACATTTGGTGAAAGACCTTTCATCATCCTCATAATTAGAAACTAAGGAGAATGGGAGAGAGAAGGAGGGTGGTTATGAAAATGAATCTTATAACTTGAGTTGGAAGAAGAAACCATACAAGTACTGAAGGCTGGGTCCATGTTGCTGACTCAGGAACAAAACAGGATCATGAGCACTAGATAGATTCCACTTCGTCCCAGATACTGTGGCTTTATTATTAATAGTTTGGTTAAAACCTTTCTAATTAGAATACAGTAGTTGTATTTATCTATTTGTCTTAAACAGAAGTTTGGTGCATTCTGCTATAGGCTAAGGCCCAGAGTTTAAAGGCATTTAGGTATCGCTGTGCTCAGTATTGCAATGTCTAACATATCTAGAAGCCTAAATCTCAATATCAAAAGGGATTTAGGCACTTAGGAGCCAGAATCCCATGGACAGTTGATGGGAGCTAGGATCCTACATATCTAAATCCCTTCTAAAAATGAGATTAAGCTTCTAAATCAATTACGTGTTTCAACATTGAGCTCAGCAACGCGTAAATATCTTGAAAAAATTGATTCTGTGATTTGAAAATAGCTCCTATTCAGTCATTGAGCATTTAAAACATGAGATTAAAACCAAGAGCTTGTCACACGGGCCTTTGCTGCGTGGCAACCTGGATGTGACCGTGCACTAGCCTGCTGCTCATTAATGTCCCATGTGGACACTGCACAGCACACTGGAAGGTCCATAGTGCACTTTGACATATTGCTGTTTGAAACGGGAGTTTGTCAAAGCACATTACTGTACTTTCAGTGTGCTGTAGCAGTGACCACGTGGGATGTTACTGTGAGGCAAGCTAAAGCACTATAGATTCACGCCCTGATGTGTGATGTAGTAATGTTTTGTGTAGACAAATCCTAAATTTTAATTCATTTCTCAACTGAACTTTTACTCTAATGAAGGGTAATCTAATAAAATGATATAACAAAGGGTTAGAGTCTACTCCATCTATGAACAGAGTTAACGATTGTTCAGTTCTGCTCAAGTAGTTTACCTAGAAAATATGTATGAAGATTAAATTTAGCTCACCATAAATAGCTGTAAACTGAATACCATGAGAAAACCCAGTGTGAAAATATAGCAAATCACACCTAAATGGTTATTTAGTTAAAGAATTCCCAAAGGAGTTTTTGCAATTTGCTTACTTGTTTTACTTACTAGTGTGATCTCATGAATTGTAGATGGCTAGTAGAGAAGCTTTTGTACATTAGCTCTATTAGCATAAAACATAGCCCTCACAAGGTACATTTCCCCCTGCAGCAGGAGAGGAAATCTGAATTAGGCAGTTTAATTTAATGCTTGATTGCAAGGTTAATGGAATCATCACACAACACAGCTGAGTTTATTTACTCACTTGAAGAAAATGTGTGTGTGTGGTGGGGGGGAACAGACAGCATTTTTAATGCCTTTTTATTGAGTGTTTTTTTTTTAAAGTTTGTAAATTAACCACCTATGGTTTCATCTCTTCCATGTTTATGGTTTGGTGTTTACCATCTGGTTGCTTAAGTTTGTTTCACATTGTCAGAGAGGGCTGCTTGATCTAAAGCTACATTAGATTCATGCTCAAAGCTCCCAATTACTAGAGTGCACGTAGTAGAGGGGCAGAATATGGATCTCCGAGTTGAGAAAAAAGTTTAATATATCTGCGTACAAACATTTCTTGTTTCTTTCTGTGTAGATAATTTGAGACTGACATCTAGCTAAATTACTGTATCTTCCCGAATAGCTCAGAAGACTGTATTAGTGAATATGACTTTATCAAGAATAACTTCAAAGCTACTATTAAATATATGATAAGGAAATATCAGTACATCTGTCTTTTTTAAGCCTTAATGAATGAGTGCTTATGAAACTACTTTTGAGTATGATTAAGTTGGAATATTTCATTTTTTTACTTTAGTTTGAGATTGGAAAAATTAGAATATTTTAATATGAAAAGTAAAACAGCTAAAAGGATTTAAATCATGCTTCACCTTTGCAATGGCCAAGGTTATAGCACAGTCCAGGAACACAATTATTGAAACTGTACATTTCTGCGGTACTGTGGGAGCAGATTGAGTTTAACTGTGTCACAGGAGTGTGCCATGATGTAACTATTTCCTGCAACCCAATAGCATTTCACAGCATAGACAAGAGTCTCAACTAATCTTATGATGATTATAGACATGGGTATGGACCTAAGAGAGGCAATGCACTGTGAGATACAGGAATTAAGAGTGAAACTGAACCAGAGCAGAATAAAATCAGGGAAATATAAAACACAAATGTAGTGATGTTAATATGAAAGTTGGTCAATGGAGAGAAACCCAATATTTTTAATGCAGTCACCACTAGGGAATCTTTTGGATAAATGTGTATAACTCAGCAACATTATTTTTGTTTCACTAATACCATCTTAATTCCTCTCGCTTACACCAGTGTAACATTATCTACTTCCATGGAGTTAATCCTAATTTACAGCAGTGTAAGCCTAGGGATTTTTCCCCATCTGCTCAAACTCCATAGTAAAAACTGAAATAGAAACTTCAAACTTGCAACCACCTGTAGGTATCAGTGATTAAAACTGTAGATGTCACTGGTTGTGGATTTTTACAGTGCCTTTCACAATAGACCATGGTCAATAACTAGGGCTCCTAGGTGCTGTGGTAACACAAATAATGAATAAAAATTGTTGCAAGATAAAGATCGGAGCTAATGGATGCACACAACAGAATGAAAAACTAGAGACCTTTTGACAATGTCAAAAGACTGTGGCAGAGGACAGAGCAAGTAATGAAAAGCAGACAGCCATAGCCAAGGAATAGATGTCTATGACTGAAGAGTGCAGAGGAAGAAAATAACATAATTGTCAGCCCACTGACCCCGACAGCAAGTTATAGATAGCAAATAGCTTACTGTAGCCCTAGTACTGTTTAGACTCTAAGGCACTATGTCCTGTCATCATTCATCCCATGGAACTGCATGTGAATTGATGGTAGGTTGTGACCTTTATTAAATTGGCTATAAACTATACTATTGAATAGCCTGTGACTTGACTGGAAAATCCTTCATTTTCCTCATATGACAGTGTTGTGCAATTCTCACATATCAGTTTACCTCTAATTTAATTAAAATATTCTGGGCAGATTAATTGCTTTTAAAGTCTGTATTCATTTTATGTACAAAGACTTTAAACAACTACAGCAAATTTCAGAAGAAAAAAATTGGTCCATAAACCTGAAAGAGGATTATACAGAATACAAAAATATTAATGCTTTGCCTGGGAGTCTATGCCAAATGTAGGAAGAGGTTCTTTTTTACATCACACATACATATTCTGTTGTGTTGTATGTTTTTCTCTTTAAAGAATGCAATACTCATTAGTAATATGAAATATTTATTTTAATGGCTTTCAAAAAAGCAAAGATCAATTCCTTTGGAAGAGAGTTGACTCTCAGAATGACAGCATCTACAGCAATTTACCTGAGATGAATGGCTACTTTTTAGGCAGTGGGAAGAAATCTGTATTTCATGTTTGCAGGGAACTTGAACAAATGTTAGGTGCAAAAGAAATGGTAATAACAAATGGGGACTTTCAATAATAATTAACAGTAATACATTGGACTTATTTCACTTTTCATGCAAACATCTTCATGCAGCTCACAAAGGCGGACAATATTATCCCTGTTTTAAAGCTGGAGTACAGAGAACGGTTAAGGGACTTACCTAAGGTCATAGTACAAGCCAGTGGTAGAGTTAAATGTAGGTTGCATTCCTATATTTTGACTCTGAGCAATAGACCACACTTTCATGGTGTAAAAACTGTAGGTT